GTGAGAAAGAATGACTTTGCTATTCACAAAGCCGTGGCTGAATTTCACATATAGAATGTGGGAAAGAAAGGAGTTCATTCTGCATGGTTCCATTTATATAAAGCTCAGTGACAGCAGTCACAATTGTGTTACCTTTGGGAGGTTCAGTGTAATGACTCGGGGATCCCGGTAGCCTTCTGGGGTTCTATTGCTCAACACAGCTGACAGACACACAGCTTGTTCACTTTGTGGAAATTCAACAAGCTGTGCACTTATGATCTGTTCACTTTCTGGTATGTATGTCAAACTTTAACAAACTTATTTTAAAAAAAGGAGGAAGTCTAAGACTATCATTTAGCAATATCATCTGAACATATGTCATTACACAGCAGCCACAAGTATTGGATGACATATAACCCATACCTTTTGTAAATGTACAGATGAACTCTCCAGAAAGTAAGGGAAATCCCAGGGGCCAACACTGGGTAAGGTATTGATTTTTTCACCCTGGGGGTCGGGGGGACTGTTAATAGATAAACTATAAGAAGATGCAAGGCCTTGGGTCCTTACGGGGTTTACAGCTAGAGTAGAGATCCCTGTATAGTGGTAGAAACCCTGAAGGGCTTATATCCTAAGTGTAAGATTGCCTAAAAGGAAAAAAAATCCAGCTTTAGGTAAAGTAAAACAAAAAGGTTGTCTGTCTCAGCCTGGGCTCTGTCTGACAAAAAGTCAACAATAAAGAAGGCTTTCCTGACAATTTGTAACCACGGGGCTTGTCTTCAGTTGAGCTGGGGATCACATTTATATTTCCTGCTTACACCAGATAATGTATATAGAAACAGTCGTCAAGGGACATGCCCAGCTTTTTCTTCACTTTCACAGAAAAATAGTGAGCAGCACAGAAGCTAGAACCAAAAGGATACGTGTCCCTCTATCTTAAGATTTCTCTTGGTCTGATTTTATATCAGCAATAACTTTGAAAGAAGGTTCTGCCTCAGAGGGAGGCATCTGCACTTCATAATTAAGAAGGAACATAAAATCCTTGGCGGCTTAGGTATCCTCCTAAGAATAAGCCTTTTAAAAAACTGTAATGTTTTTGACTTGACATTTAATTCCACAGACTCTTAACACTTATACAGTCCCTCTCTCAAGGAGCTTTTAATCTTGTAGCACAGAGAAAAGTCACAGGCAAAACCACATGGATCTGAGCATGTGACACTCAACTCTTGTTTTCCTTCATGAGTCCCTTCAAGTGCTCCCTCATATAATATGATTTCAAGATCCTTTCCCATTCTGGTTCACAAAGTCAAGAAAACTGCACAGATTTATAATGGGTGGTTGATGAAATTAAGGTTATTGCAAAGGAAGTGCTCAGGGACCAAAGATGAAATGGAAGCCCAGCAAGTGAAGCAATGAGAGTCCATTATGGAGGGCATCTTAAATTCTCATTTCTAGGGAGGGAGTATGGTACCATGAATCTGTAAGTGCCAGAGGCAATAACAGTGTGATAAAGGAGGAAGTACTTACAAACATATTTTGAAACTAAGAGTGATGGGGAACCTGAGTTACCTAGAAGTGGCTGGCTGAAGCCACCACTGCTGGTCAGAGCAATTCTAGTTAGGGCAAGGCTTTCTTGATGCTTATTTGACCAAATGATGATTCACAACAACACTGTTGAACCTGTAAGCAAGCTTAGCCTCAGCCACTAAGTCTCTGTGTGCATCCACATGACTGAAGTTAGCTTTTGAAGATTCTTGAAATTCAGGCCATCCCCTAAGCAACTTGGGATGTGAGCTTATTCCATAGAGATAAAGTTAAATACATGAAATGATTTTTTTCACTTTCAACAAGTTACTTTCATGTCATATGATAATTAAAACCTATATATATCACAAAATAAACAAAAAACCAGGGATGTCCCAGAAAGCTGGATGTCTTTCCATAGCAGCTACTGAGCTGCCCTTCCTAAGCCTGTTGGTAATCCTATAGCTGCTTCAAATGAACTAATAACAAACAGGAAAAACAAATATAGGGTTAGTCAGTAGATTTCAGCAATTAGAAACATTTTATATTTTAATCTAATAACAATGGCATTATTTTCATTATTCGTACAATCTGGAGAAAACCCAGAGGAAAGGCAAGGTGGCTCATGAGAAACGTGGCTGGTCAAGAAAGAAACTGAGCATGGCTTCATCTCTTCTCGCTTTAGTCCTCACTCCTTACCTGATGTCCAAGGCCCCATAAAACAACCTGGCTCCATGACTCTACCCCTACTATTGTTCGACATAAACTAGTTGCCCTACCCAGTTCAGGTCTCTCCAAATCCACTAAACTTGGGGAACCCTGTCTCCATGCCTTTGTTCTGAGTGACTTCCTGGAAGACACACCCTCTTCAACCTTTACCTCTATTGACCACTTGTTGGGCTGCTGCCATCTTTCCAGCCCATGATACTGTCACTGGCCACCTCAGCCCCCAAGTAGCAATTCTTCCCTTAAACTGCCACAGCATTTAATGCCATGTTTCATCTGGCGCTTGCCTGTGTCCTGCTATTTTGACACTTGATATGTTCAGATCTTATCTCCCCAGCTAAACTGCCTGTTCCTTGAAAGAAGAAACCAGATTCTGATCTTTCACTGCATGGTCCCCCAAAGGGCCTGGCATGGTTGTTCTGTGTCATGAACCTGAGGGCATAACTTTCCATTTATCTTTAAAAATTTAAGGACAAAAAGATAAAAGTGGGAGGAAAATAAAAGGGAAAAGAAGAAATTGTGTCAAGATCTCTGATACTGTTAGGTATCTGTACACTAGAAGGATAGATTTGACCTCAAATGAAAGCATCAAGATGGAACTTACTCAAAAAAAAAAAAAAGAAGAAAAGAAAGATGGAACTTTCTCTTTTTCTGAGAGGAATTCAAGCTGAGTGCTACTGGCCGCTGGTTTTTCTTTGTGACAGAGACATACTTGTGGACCACCAGACTTGGACTGGACCTCTAAGAATTATGACCCAAAGTCCAAGAGAGCACCGAGTCACAATGCTCCCTTTCCTCTGCATCATCTCTGCTAGGGCAACACTGAGAGAACACTGCCCCGTTTCCTGTACAGCAGCTCTGGCCAGTGGCAACAGTTTCAAAAGCAAATCTGCCAGCTTTGTCCCAGCAGGAACCAGCACAAAGGTTATTGGCTATACAAGCAAATTATCCTGTTTTTGTCCAGAATCACTGTTTACAGTGGTTCTCAAATTTTGCTGCATATTAAAACCACCTGGGGAGCTTGTAAAAATCCTTATGCCTGGCTGCACCCCATGCCATTTAAATATGAATCTCTGGGAATGGACCCAGGCATCAGTGTTTTAAAATTTCACCCCTTCATTTCAATGTTCCGTCAAGTTTGAGAAGCAGTGGTTTAACCAGGTCCATCAGCAACCTACCAAAACGTTCGTTCTGCAGTGATGATGTTAGAAAACTCTGGCTCATTCTGAAATGAGCACGTGACTGCAGAAGGCAATGTGGACAGGACTTATCTTTGATTACCCAGATGGCTGGATATCTAGCTTGTGACTAAGCCAATCTTTAGTTTCTCCATATTTTTCTCTTCCCTTTGATCTTTCCCATTAGCATGTCTACCTCCAAGTAAACAAGAGGAATCTAGCAATGACAACACTACATTTCACTTTCTAGTACTGGGGAGACAAGCTCCCAGGTGTTCTTGCCTGTGACTGTTCATTAGAATCACCTGGGATATTTAAAAACACGCATGCAGGGCCCTCATCTCAGAGATGCTGGCTCAATTTGTGTAGAGCTGTGGTTCTTAATACATGATGTGCACACCAGCAGCATCTGCGTCACTTGGGAATGCTTGAGAAACTCAAATTCTCAGGCCCAATCTCAGACTTGCTGAATCAGAAACTTGGAAGAAGGGAGGGCAGAGGGAGGCAGAAATTTGTGTTTTAATAAGTCCTCCAGAGAATGATGATCATGCTCAAGTCAGAGAACCACTGGTATAGGCAGGCACAGGTTCCAGTGATTCTGAAAAGACCCACAGGTGTTCCTACTGGGTAACCTAGGTGGGGACTCATGGGGTTAAATAGTACTGGCTTAGGTAGATGACACTTGTCTCTTAATTGCAGTTTCCATGCTCTCCCAATATCCAGTCATCCGGGAGACACAAAGTGCCTTTCACTGGGCTGAGGATGAGCTCTTGCATTACGTTGAAAAAAACAGATTTGGTGTTGGTGTGTTCAGTCATTTGAACAACTGAATTAGATCAGCAGCGAAGCCCATCTCACCACTTGCTCAAACATTTGTCAATAAAATGCTCTGTCCAAATCATCTCCCCATCAAATGAAGCGACTTTTCTCCAAAAATAAAACAGCCAATTAACAGTGACTCCATAGCCAAATATAACCTCCTTTTTAATTCAATAGGATAAATGAGATATGATATGAATACGAAGCATCTCCTTCATTTTGAAATGGGCCTTTGAGTTGAAATTTCATGCTTCGATGGGCATCCATCACCCTTCAAAGAGAACTTAATAGTTTAAAAAGCTCAGGGTTTTTATTGTGCAGTGATGACATTCAGAATTCTAGCTTTCATGCAGTCTCAGGATAGAAGAAGCCTCTGGCAAGCTATGTAATAAATGGAGTCTTTATATGAACATCGATTTATACTTTACATAAAGGGAGTTACTATGCAGTGACTAACGCTTCCAAGAGTGGATTACAGGCCGATTGTTCTCTTCTTGTCCTGCATTTGGCTGGGACTGGGGCTGGGAAGTATCTCACCTCTTTTGGAGCTCCAACAATGCTTCACGAGAAAGGGGGCAATCCTATGGATCAGTTCATGTCTCTGAGTCTCTGATGATAAGTTATTGGTGTGGTATGAAAGATCTACTCTTAGCTTTAGACAAGAGAAGCGGTTGAGATGGCAAGCACGCCTCTCTCTCTGCATGTGTCAGAGTCAGCAGGGCTTTTCACTCACGGACAGCTCTGGGGACCCCAATCTGTCTACTGAGAGTTTACCTCGAGGACAATAGATGTCTGGAGCCCATCGGTTGCACTCATAATTGTCTGCCGCCTTTTCACAGGTGAAACACTTAAATCCACCAGGATATGGTGTGGCTACAAAAAGGATCAAGAGAAAAGATTAACGTTTTAGACTGAGCACAGAATCTTGAATTGTGAAGTGAGACATTTTCATTTTTTTAAAAGGATTCTCAAGATAGCCTGGCAGTTTCTTAAAAAACTAAACATGCAACTACCATATGATTCAGCAATTGCACTCTTGGGCATTTACCCCTGAAAAATGAAAACTCACACAAAAAATCTGTACAAATCTTTACAGCAACTTTATTCATAATAGCCAAAAACTGAAAACCACCCAGACGTCCTTTAAAGGGTGTATGGCTAAACAAACTGTGGTATATCCATACTATGGAATACTAGTCAGCAATAAAAATGAACTATTAATACATTTAACAACATGGATGAATTTCCAGGGAATTATGCTGAATGAAAAAAGTCAGTCCCAAAAGGTTATATGCTGTAACATGATTCCATTTAGGTAATATTTTTAAAATGAGGAAATTTTAGAAATGGAGGAAAGATTAGTGGTTTCCAGGTGTTAAGGATGGGAATGGTAGTAGGGAGGATTAGAGGGAGGTGGGTGTGAGGCCAACAGGAGGAATCCTTGTGTTGCTGAAACTGTTTAGTGTCTTGACTTGGTAGTGGATACACAAACCTACATGTGATAAAATCATGTAGAAATAAATACACACACACAAAATACACACAAATGAACACATGTAAAACTGGGGAGGTCTGAATAAGACTGGTGGATTGACATATCAATGTCAATAACCTGGTTATGCTATTATTCTACAGTCTTTCAAAATGTTCCCACTGGCAGAAATTGGGTAAAATATACACAGAATCTGTCTACATTATTTCTTACTTTTGAATCTACAATTATCTCAATACAAATTTCAACTAAAAAAGGCACTCTGGCTTTCCAACAATTTATTTTTGTGTCAACTTATGTAGGCATGTCAACATGTAAATATAAATAATAGGTTCAATCATTAAAAATCTTCTGATGTTTGACCATTCTTTACCTACAAAATTGGCAATTTCTTTGGTTCAATCTAATATTTTTATCGGTCAGATGTGACATGGTTAAGAATTCCTGGGAATGGTAAGTATCAGCTAAGAGGAGAGTCTTCATTGCTAAAATACATGCTGTCTGTGCAGAGGTGACCCTCTTAAGGGGCCTCTCAGGCCCATGTCCAATGTCCAGTGTCCAATGGGGTAGCATGCTGAGGACACGTGGGGATGTGGATGCACTACAGGGTCCCAGCTCCAGCCCAAGGGATGCATAATTCCAAAAAGCCCTCCTATTGATCCCCTGCTCTCCTCACCCGAGTCATCTCTTCCTGCCTTCCTACGAGACCGTCCTCCAGGTTCTTGTATTCCTCACCCTGCATCTACGCTCAGGTGGGAGGCATCCCATGAGTCATGCTCTAGAGAGGGCCCAGCACACCAGGCCTCCTTGGCATTTAAGGACAAGGATCCACAGGGAATGTCAGGCCTTCTCACCAACAGTGAGAAGGCTGTGTTACTGGCTGCTTAGCACTAATCATTTGCTTGCTTTGCTGCTTAGAGTTTTGCCTTTCATAAACAGAACTTGTGTTTTGGGGGTTTTTTTTTAATTTATAAAATTACCTGGCTTCTTTGAAAGCTGCAAACACTCAGACACTTCATCTGCAGGAGCCAAGTGTTTGCCCTCACAGATGGCTGAGCCTGCATTTCCCACTGGTGGAAATAATCATCTCAGGGTAAATTGCTTTGCCCACATGGAACCAATTAAGTATGTTATCAAAAATAAATGAAGGAGGAGGCAGCAGCTTAAGGCCAGAATTATGGGCCAGATATAACTTTGATTTTCACCTTGCCTCGAACAGCTGCCCATCCGTGCACTTTCTTCAAATATTTCATAGAGCCGACTCTGATAATATCCTAACATGAGCAAAAGTCAAAAACTGTCTAAAAAAGACAGCTAACTGGACCTTTTTCTGGGTCCATTTGAGAGTTCTATGTTCCTCCAAGTAGTTGATGACTCAAATTCATAAACAGAATGATGGTGAGTACATGGGTCGTTTTAGAAAATAAGGAATGGAAAGCAGCTGAGACATAGCCATCCAACTGCTTCTTACCAACGAGGAAATTTCACCAGGGCTAAACATGCTCTCCTTCCCATGGAATTATAATAAAACAGAAGTAAACTATTTTGTAAAACTACACAAAAATAATTTTCATATCTCCCCATCCCACCACCCAGATAGATGGGTTACATTTGAGTTAAAATATTCTAGTTTAGGTCAGTACATGCCTGAAGAATTCAAAACAAACAAGTTCTTCTATTCTAAAGCCATTCAATATTCTCATGGACATTTTAATTAGCTTGCTTTCATAAATAACATTATGAGAAAAACCATATGAAATTTTTAAGAAATTATCATGATAGGATACATTACAATATAGCTTCACAATCAATTTTAAAATAGTTAATATACAAATACGTTTAAAAGATAGAACTTTAAAATAGTTGGTAGAATTATCAAAGTAGGAGTTTTGAAAAAACGATGTAAAAAACTTGTCAAAGAACAGCATTTCTCAAAAAATGATCATATTCGCCAGGGTTTATGACTGCAAGCTAGCCGTACCACTTCAGATTGCATGATTAATTCACCGGAGCATCCAATTTTTTCTGTCACTGCAGCCAGTAAAACTTCCAGCTGGAATGTTGGATTCGTTATTCCTGGAAACTGTCCCATCAAAGAAATAAATTAAGAACTTTGAATGAAGATTGACGATCCAGCCATTCCAAGAATAAACTTATGGAGAACCTAGCATTAATAAGTTCTAGTGTTCCCAAATTTGGATCATTTAATAGACTCTTCAGAATTATCTTTTACAAGACTAGTGGCATATTACATCAAATACTGTCATTTCTTATACAAGTAGGCCTGAACTCTGAAATTAACTCAAAGTATTTCAAAATTTAAACAGATATACGAGCTAAAAAACTATGGTAGCAAAATAATCCTTTGTTTCAAAACATTTATGCCTGGATGTGTTTATCAGTTTGTATCATTGGCAATTAACTAAATAATCTCATTTTTGGTGAGTTTTAATCTACAACTTCATATCTGTGTGCATGTTGGACAACCGTTTAATATTTGCCTGTGGGAACTCGTATTTACATCTGGGCAGGTAGCCCTGATGCGTGAATAATCAAACCCTTTTCGGTGACAAATCTCTGTAAACAGACTCAGCTTTAAGTCAGTAATTATAGAAAAATACCAAATAATGGTTAAATTCTTACCTCTGGAAATATTTAGCCAACAATACGGTCTACAGATGAACAACTATCTCCAGTAACTTGCTAATTGATACTGCATCTGATAAAGAAGTTTTTTTTAAAAAGAACAGAAAGAGGTTCCTAAGAGATGTGCTATTTTGCTCTTTGTTACTTCAAAGCACTACAGAGCAAGTAGAGTTTCAAATCGTTGTGGCCCCAGCTGTGAATGAATCTAATTTGGCTCTTGATCACAGAGTTAGTACTCTGTATTTCAGTGCATAAGTCCTTGGTCCCTCAAGAGAAGATGATTGTAAAGAAAAAAAGAAATCCCAAAGTGCCAGTTACTTCCTGTAACATAATCTGTCCATTAACTCTCATGGTCAGTCGTAGTTCAACCGACCGTAATGCATTTGTAAGGCATCGGAAAAGATTTCCTCTCTGTTTCCATCGCTTGGAACTTTTGCCTGGACAAAGGCCTTCAGTCACCAAAACTGTGGTGAGAAAAGAATCTTGTTTTGAAAGGTATGCTGATGTGTAATGCATCCAAACTTTTTTCATTCTTGCCAAATTAATTTCCATTGCTTTTGGAAACTGGATACAAATATAAAATTTCTAGAAATCTAATAAATTGATCTTCCTTCTCAGTCCACTTGGCAACAAAATATTGTCAGTACAACTTTATTACCATGAACATATTTCTGACAGAAACGCATTTCTTAGTACCTTTCTAGAAAATGCCCTCATTCCCTAAGATTGACGTAGTATAGAATTGTGAAAAAATTTCCTCGGCCCTCTGTCTGGGCACAAGCAAGCTCCCCCTGCAGCGATATAGTCTTTGGTCCACTTGATTAAGGAAAAACTCAGAATATTCAACCAAAGAAAAGTTAGATTCTTCAGGACAGGTTTCTATTACAGGGAAAGAAATGGAGGCCAAGAACAACGTGAAGCCGCTTGGGATGTTGAATTCTGCTATCTTGTGTGATGTCTAACAATCAAATAAGTAGCTTCATTTCTTGTAATACTAACTCCTGTTTTGAAGGTTTTTATTAGTCTATAGTACTTTAATCATGACTAGGAAGAAAGTCACCATTTTTCACAAGAAAAAAGAAAAGAATACAAATGATAGAAAATCATGTTATTGAGGACAGTGCCTCAAGTTTGAAAGCCATCAAGTTTATTTCTTTGAAAGGCTTAGAAACTTCAAAGATCAGGGAACCAGAGAGCAAAGAAGATTAGTCATGGGAGGCTGAACTTTCCCAACCCGGGTTCCAATCTCACCCTACTTATTATCTCCGAGGGCTGTGTGCGGCCCATGAGAAATGAGGTTATGTTTGTCTGGCATAGAAACCTTGCGTTTCTTCTTACGTCTCCAGCATCACCACATCTCTCCTTGGGCAGGTTCCGGGCTGTATCTAACATTAAAGACATCTGGCTCACTCGCCAACCCCAAGAAAGCTGTTTGTGCCTCCATCTACAAAGTGAGGCAATTATATTAACAATTCAAAATCAAAATAATTCCACATTTCCTTCATATATTTTTTATAGTCTGTGTTCTACAGAAAGCTGCTTATTTGTAGAAAGATCGCTCCATCTGAACATGGTCTAGTGAGTGCTGCTCAAGGGCAGAAGACCATGACTGCTTAAAGAGTCAAAGTGTAAAAACAAGCAAACAAACAGCAAAAACTTTTGAAATAGGGCAGAGAAATGTAAAGCTAACTCTGCTTTAAAGTGGGCAGAATAAACAAAGTTCTGGTCAAGTAGGAACCATGGATAGTAACTTCAGTCCAGCAAGAACTTAGACCCCTCAGGACCAGTAGTGGACACTCTGAAAGAGAACTTAGCCCAGACCTCCTGGTGAATTGTCTACGTACAATCTAGCTTAGGAACGACTTCTATCCTTCTCCCTATTTCAAGATCATGTCAGAAAACTCCATCAATTCTTTCCATGTGGAGAGTTCTTTTTAATCAAGCCATGGCTCTGTTTAATTAACATAGATTACATGAACAGAACTTTTCCACTAACTTCTAAAGAGCAGAAGTGATTGCCCCTCTAGCCTGACAGAGTTCATCCTTCAAAGATCCCATTCTGAAACGGACTTTACAACTGGGGGCCCACTCAACCCGGGCACTGACCCACCACACCACTGAGGCAGAAGTCGTATGTGTGTTTGTTTTGTTCTTGTTCACTTCCATTCAATCCCCTTGATTTCCTTGCCACTCTGTGTATTCAATCACTGGCTCAGAGAAGGCCAGGCAGGGCCAGTTTTGCCGCCCAGGGACTACTGAGTCTGTCACTGAAGAGGGCAAAATATCCCACAGAAGCCGGAAGTTCCAGCAACCAAACCTAAGAGACTGAAATCCAGGTTTGTGTTCACCACACCTGATAAAAAAGCAGTGTTGTTTGGAGAAAAGAACAATGCAATCCTGGGAAACAAGCAAGTATCAAAGCTCCTTGTTTTCATGAATGTTACTCAAACTAAACAGGCCTGCAAAAACAAGCAGCCAGATAATCTTTCCGCACAATTAGCCAGTAGGCACCAGCCTATCCTGGTGAATGCGTACGACAGCAATAAGTCTAAAGGAGCTTTTGCTGCCTGTCAAAAGTATATCTGGAGTGAAAAAATTAAAGCGACAGGTTTTCAGCGCCCTCAGTTTGTCTAAGCCAATTACAACAGGAACATAATAAACAACAAGCACCCGATCACCTATTATGTACGTGCCTAGTATTTTACAGATATTAGTTCTAGTCCACAAAATAACGCTACAGGGTATGTATGATTTCATCCACCTTAGAAATGTGCGCAATGACTTAAAAAGATTCCACTAACATTTATTGAGCGTTTACTATGGCTCCCACTCAGTGCTAAGGGCTTTGTATGCATTATTTTATTTAATCTTCATAAGGTTAGGGAATCGATTTCAAGTCAAAAGGCTAGGAAGCAGCTGAGCTAGTTGCTGACCCAAGGTTGGGTGGACTCCAAGCCCCTGTGTATTCCTCGGACCACCTCTCCTCTGAACCAGAACTTGTAGATGTTAAATATTCTAACAGTGTGGCATGGAAGGAGTCCAAGTGGCTGCCTTGGCTTTGTAATCTGTAAGATCCTCAAAAGCAAGGGCTATGTTTTATTTGCCTTTATACTTTCCATATCTATCGCAATCCTTGACACACAGTAGACACTCAAACAATGTTTGCTGCACAGAACATTTCAGAAGAGTCAGCACCACAGTCGGGGCTAATGCTAAAGGTCAGCACACACACGGTTACCAGTTCTCACCACCACGGGGCAATCCAGAAGAGGATTCAAATAAAAATAAAAGAGACGAAATAAATACAGAGATGGGAACCTAAAGAGGCAGTAAAACTGCTGTGTTTTCCAAAATGTGATCCTTTGAATATCAGCAGCAGAAGCCCCTGAAATTCTCGCCGAAAGCAAAAATACATGGGGACAGCTCCAGATATATGCAATCAGACACTCTAGAGAAGGGATTTGGGCATCTACATTATTAGGCACTCCCTAGACAATTCTTAAATGCAGGAAACCCAAAGGGATAGGGGATAGGAAGTCGTGGGAGGCAATTATGTTGAAACTGAGAATTAGATGCAGTGACAGGAAGACCAGCTATTATCTTCCCTATAAAGGGCTGATCTTTTACACCTTCCTCTGGGACATGGTGGTTCATTTTGATAACTGACTGGCTGGCACAAGTCAAAGGGAAGGGTGGTCAGAATCAGAGCAATTGTGTAGGGAACAGGAAAAAAAAGCCTAATAATTTGCCTTAAAATAAACACCCTATAAAAAGGGGAGGGTAAAATACACAGCATCTTTGGTAGCGCCTGCACCCCTCAATTAAATCACCAGAGACTTCCCCCACAGTGAAGGCTGCCTTCTCCTGGCCATTTTTCAACTCATGTCTTATTCAAAGTAAAGTGACATTTCTGCAGCGAAGAGAATGGTCTTACTTGAAGGATGGAGGTAGATAATGTCTTTCACTGTGAAGTCTCGGGATTGAGTGGCTTTCAGACAATCAGCCAGCAGGCTCAGAAGCAGGAGCCAGGCCAGGGCAGGGCCAGATTCCATGTCACTCATACAGGGCGCCCAGAAGCGGGGACTCAGGACGACGAGAGAGAACTCGAACCTGAAATATGAAGCAAGATTCATCTCAGTGTCCAACTCGAGAAAGCTATGGGAGACTTGGCTGAGACCCCGTGTTGGTGGAGTGGGTTGGGGAGGGACAGGGAGCCGAGGGCACGAGGAAGCGGGCAGACATGGAGAGAAACTTTATAAAGGGTAATTTCAGAGCACTTAGAAAATTCCAGCCCAAATCTATTCTTAATCAGGTTGCTCAAGCTCCACTGGTAGCAGTCCCCTCTAATATTCAGCAGAGATGGTATCAAGAGAGATTGAATTTTAATGAAATCCAGCTATTTTTGCCAGGAAGCCAGGCGATGGCTGCCAGAATGCAACCATAAATAAGTCAGGTACCACAGCTCACAAGCATTCCCTTGATAAGGGTGAAGGCCAGATACACAAGTGCAGCCTTACGGGGCCATGTTGCCCATCCAGAGTTGTACAGGGTAGGCTTTCAGACTTGGAAAAAAATCCAAAATGTAGGGAAATTGGCTTCTCCCAAACCAAAAAGTACCTTTATAGCTCAAAATCTCCTTAACACAACATATTGGCTGGGTACTATTGAAGTCCTTTGTACGTATCATTCTGTCCTCCTACCAAACCTATGAGTGAAAAACATATATACAAGCTAGGCACTATCAATATCCCATTTTGAGTAAACTGAAGTCTAGCAAATAAGTAGGGGAGTTGATTCAAACTCAGGCCGTCTGGCCATCGAGTCCACCTTTTTAAACACTAGGTGATACTGTGTTCTTCCAGAGACCGTTCTGAGGTATATACACAAAAAGTGATGAAATGAGATCAAGGTACCACTGTGGCAGTAAGCAATCATCATTATACCTGTTATTCCAATTCTGTCCTTTTCAATTAAAATCGAGGGCAGTAAACTTTTTTACTTGGGTTGAATTGTCCAGTTTACTTAGGATGTAGACTTTTATCTTCATTTCTACGTGCTATTCGCTTGCCCTCTTACTGTTTTCCTATAGTCTGTTCCTTGTGTTCTGCTGTTTTCCAAATATCATCATTCGATTGCCAAGGCAAGGGGTCAAGTTAGACATTCACTTCATTTTAAACAGGAGGAAAAAACATAATTTGGACATTTTGTTTATAAGTTTTAATACAAATATTTACTGGGATTTTTTTAAACAGTATAAATAATTCTAAAATTATTTTGTCAAAACAACAGGCCAAGAGTAAATATATTACAAAGCAAAATAAAGAGAGAAAATCAGTATGGACTAATTGGATATTAGAATATACTACAGAGTAATATTAATCAAAACAGAATGATAGAAAATGTAAAAATGGATACAGAAAATGGAACAGTCTAAGGAGTTCAGAAATAGACATAACTATTTACAAGATACAAGCAACTTTTCAAAATTATGAAACAGAAAAATATTAAATGGATAATATTATGATAACTTGATTAAAAACTGTGAAAAAGATTAACTGAAACCAAACAATGCACGATACACTAACATTAGCTCCAGATGGATTGGTGTGTTCATTATTTTTTAAAAAATTAGACAAACTGTTAGGAAATAGAGTAGAATTCTTATTGCCCTGTACCAGCTTGATGATGCCAACCTTGCCAATTTCATGCTCACAACACCATCTTCCGTTTACAGTTTGGTTCCTCCAAGCAAAATCTGCATTCAGGAAAAGAATAAGCTGCTTGTTCACTTAATAATTGTGACTGCCAGGCACTGTGCTGGGCATCTGGTTGAACAATATGATGAGAAAATAAAGAAACAAATATCAAAGATATCTTTCCCTTGCTGAGTGACAGAGACAAACATTGTCTCATCTTAAATGAACGCAATAGTGCTTCCTTGGACATCCATTCTGGTCAGGTGAGGCTCTGTGGAAACCTGAGAGCATTGTAGCAACATCCCCATCTCCTGACAATCTGAGGGAGGGCTCAGTTTGAGAGGGGTGGTGAGGAAAGCTATCTGGTTTTATTTTGATATAATGTAACATTCAGTATCAACTAGTTGCCAACCTAAGTTTTTTTAAATGTGAAACGTGATGTCAACACCAGTGCTTCACATATATCAAACAGTGTAAGTGGCACATTTTCATTAAAGCATTTCTCAACCACAGTATTCCTTCTGGTTATTGATTTAAAAGTCTCCCTTGGCACAATACTTGCACTAAACATTATGTATTACTTAATGTCATCTGAAATTAACCTTACTACAACCTCTGCGGCATGGCTACGCAGCCTCCATTTTCACAGCCTGTGTTTAATATGTTTAAGTAACATACAGAGGTGAAGGGCTAGATGCTTGGGTTTGAAGCCTTGCTCCAACACTTTCTTGCTGTGCAATCTTAAAACAGTTACTTAACCACTTGGAGCCTCAGTTTTTTAATCTGAAAAATGAGGATCATAATACTACCTACCTCAAAAGTTTATGATGAGAATTAAATGAGTTGACATATGTAAAGCACTAAAACAGTGAAATAGCGTCTGTCACACAGTAAACGCCTTGTAATATTTCCCAGTATTTTTACTAGTCATGCATCACTTAACAACAGAGATACATTCTGAGAAATGAGTCATTAGGTGATTTCGTTGTTGTGCAAACATCATAGAGCATACTTACACAAACCTAGATGATCTAGCCTACTACACACCTAGGCCATATGGTACTAATCTTATGGACCACTGCCATACATGCAGTCTGCTGTGGACCAAAACATCGTTATGCAGTGCCTGACTGTATTATTGTTCAAAATCAGTCAATATAGTTTCCTAAGTGAAAGTAAAACATGGTGTAATTAACTTTGGTACAACATATGGCTCACTTTCCTTAAATCAGAAAAATATGAAAATTCCCAAAACTAGCAAGTATGACAAATCATGATCCATATGTCTCCTGCACCCCAACACCTGCCCCCTGACCAGCCACGCAGGGACTAAGCCGGTGGGAGGGAAGGGGAGGGGACCTCCTGCCACCAGCATTTTAATATTGCTGAGGCTCATGCAGGCCCAGGTGACATCCTGCTATCCCTCGTCAATGAAGCAAACAGATGGATGCTGCCCTTCTTACACTCTCCCCTCTCCGCAGGCTACCCTACCAGGCCTGTGTTCCACCCCTATGATCCTTACACACTGCTGTAGGTAGATTTTACCTGCATAAAAGATGCTGGGAGAGCAGAGGTCACGAGCACATCACCTCACATCCCTTCCGAGTACCCGTCTGTGTGCGCATGCTCACACACGCTACTTACGGTGAAGAATCATGGATTAAGTGAAAGCAACCATTTCCTTCACTAAAGGAGATCAGCTCTACTTACCACAGCAAAGGGCAAGCCTGATTCTTCAGACCTGACTTGTTTAGTGCAATTTTCAAATCTAGGGGGTTCAACAATTTTTAATCATGAATTTTATGTATTTAACGGAGAATTTCCAAATTCTTAAAGTCGTTGAAACTTTATTATCCCAACACATTTTACTCATGAAATTATTCTCTTCTTCAGGAAAAAAACAAGTATGTATTTCTAGGCTTATATATAATTAGAAAAATGACTGAAAGGATAGACACCAAAATGCCATGGGATTTAAGATAATTTTAATGTTCTTTTTGCTTAATTTGCTTGCTCAAAAATTTTGGATGAGCGTGTATTACTTTTATAAAAAGGAAAATGTTTTTTTGAAAAATAATGCTCTTCGAAGAATGAGTTTGACAAAATAATTTTACTTTTTTTTTTTTTTTTAAGATTTTATTTTTTCCTTTTTCTCCCCAAAGCCCCCCGGTACATAGTTGTATATTCTTTGTTGTGGGTCCTTCTAGTTGTGGCATGTGGGACGCTGCCTCAGCGTGGTTTGATGAGCAGTGTCATGTCTGCGCCCAGGATTCGAACCAACGAAACACTGGGCCGCCTGCGGCGGAGCGCGCGAACTTAACCGCTCGGCCACGGGGCCAGCCCCAAATAATTTTACTTTTTATGCACAAATAAAAGTCAGCTTTTCTCCTAAGGCCAATGAGTATAGGCTCAAAAATGCCCTGTCTCTCCTAAAATAATAGAATCGACATCGGACAGAATGTTGTCTCTTGCCTTCTTTTACCAAGCTCTTCCCTTAGTGTCATAGCCCAGGCTCTTCATAGCAGAATCTGGGGCAAAGACTAAAGGTACTCAGACTTCATTTGAGAGGAACAAGCCCAAGACAATGAGGGTAAAGGTGAGGAGAAGGAGAGAAAGGTAGAATGAAGCTAGAAAACACAGAGCAACGTGATCCTAGGTCACTACGCTGCTCACCACTTCACAAGAAGCCACAACGAGACACAGGATTCCAAGGAAGACCCGCACCTTAGAGCAGTCCATGGAAGAAGGAAGGAGGGAGAACTTGTAAGCCTGGTGCCTTCCTGTCTCTTGTTTCCCATTGATCAAGGTTCACTCTACAAAGAACTCACTCCCCTCCATTGCAGCAGCCACAGTGGAGGGGCAACTCAGTGTGGCTGGACCTCTGTTCAAAAAAGAGAAAGAAGGGACCCGTCACAGCAACCTGAGAAAATACTCAAGGTTTGTCTCTAGGGCATGTGTTATTAATCCTTGTAAATATCACATTGCTTTTTGTTTTTTCAAGATCTGATATTTTTATATTACTTAAAAAAATTTTTATTGAGATAAAATTTATCGTTTTAAAATAATACAATTCAGTGGGTTTTTTTGTATATTCATAACATTGTGCAACCATCACCTAGTCCAGGACACTTCCTTCACCCCAAAAAGAAATCTTGTACCCACTAAGTCAATCCCAATTCCCTCCTCTCCCCACTCCCTGGCAAACACTAATCTACTTTCTGTCTCTACGGATTTGCCCTTTGGGAATATTTTGTGTAAATGGAACCATAGAACATACGATCTTTTGTGTCCGGCTTCTTTCTCTCAGTATAATGTTTTCAAGGTTCATCCATGTTGTAGCATGAATCAGTAAACCATTCCCTTTTATGGCCAAATAAGATTTCATTGTTTGGACATACCACCTTGGTTTATTCA